GAAAGAGAGAGAGAGAGAGAGAGAGAGAGAGAGAGAAGTTGGTGGCCCAATAAACCCCAATAATAAGTGAAGGTTTCTCCTTCATTATTATTTACAATTTGAAAATTTTATTTATTTGTATATTCCTTAAACTAAACAATAATAACTTATAACAGATATAACAGTAATTACATTTAATCACAGTATATCTTAAATAGAAACTTATACAAAATATTTTCTAAAATCGCAATCTTTTAAATCTCTCTCTCTCTCTCTCTCTCTCTTTCTTTCTTTCTTTCTTTCTCTCTTTGATTGTGGTGTAAGTGTTGGGCGCTATGGTGTGGATGGATGTGTCTGTGGTTGCATTCCTTAGCATAAAAGTGTAAAAGATTGCTGCCTTACAGTTGGGGAGCAAATACACACAAATGTACGCTCAGTTTGTTGGAGAGCTATTATGCTGTATATTCTCCCGCATTAGCGTATGAGCTTTGTCTGAGTCCTATTGACCATTCGTTTTGAACATTAATTCTTCAACAAAGATATGACTAACCATTAAAACCAGTTTTGCAAACAGTATTGACTTACACAGGATTCTGTCTATACTGTAGACTCTATCATACAGGTGCAGCTTCATTGATACCTACTGTATGCATATATGCTATACTACAGTACAGTGTATTACAGAATATGCAGGAAAGGTACAATGCATTATCAATGCATTGCTAGTCTACAGCATTGCCGGTCTTCTTGTTTACCTCAATTCAATCGTAACTCCGGTTTGTAATGAAAGCCAAAATTGGCGTCACAGCCGTTGTTACCAAAAATATTACTTTCAATTATTTTCATGAATCTATTATGTTTTGCATCTCTTCAATTCATTTAATTATTTAAACTACAAACAGTTCCTAACTAAATATATTATTATCAATACATTATTGAAAGTACTTGTATACAAAACAGAAATCATTTACCATATTTAATACTACAGTATTTGTAAACTATAAATTCTATAGTATAGTAGAGAATATCTATCTATAATATTTACCACTCTCCAATAGCATTGTATTCTCTTTTTTGTCAATATTTTCATCTTTGGGATATATTATTTATTTGAGTATTGATTTTTTAAATATTGATTAGTGATAATTTGTCCATTTAAGGATACATCAAGAATCATTCATGATTGTATTAGAAGTAGCAATTGCCAACTCGTAAATTTTCAAGAATATAAATTTGATAGACTCCAATAACTTTTAATTAGTCTATGTTAAGATATAACAATTAATTTATTTGAATATTATGTAGTTTCGGAGGTAACCACATTCTTGTAATCACTTTATATCGTCACTTAAGATGCCAATATTGTGAATACCAATAATAACAGAAAATGTTTTGTAAATAGAGTGACCAACTGTCCTCTATTTGGCTATATTTTGAATAATGTACCCTTATGATTTACTATGAAAACCAAGGTTAAAACTTGTGTCCTCTATTTGTCATAATTTTTTTTGTATGTTTTCCCTTTTGTCCTCTAAAACTCTTTGTAATGTCCTCTTTTTCCAAAATGGAAGTTGGTCACCCTATTTGTAAACCATTTAATATTATTACTATTATATCTATTGTATCAAAGAGAATAGTTTATATGTGTTTATATTAAATCATTTGAAACCCTCTTTTACTATGATTTTGAGCCATCATTTTGAGTCCACTATAAATACAATAGTAAAAGAGGTTTCAAATTGAACAATACAACTGGTGTCCAGATGTGGTGTTTGTCCTTTTCAATGCAATAATTGGTTGTTTTGTTTACATTAAAGTTTGACAATAATTGGCACCAAAAAGAATGGAAACAAAAAGTGGTTCGAAAAGCAATCTCGGTTTGAATGAGTCAGCCGTTCCTCTCTTAGAGGAGAAGGAGACTAAAGAGGTTCCGGAAAACATTGAAATGGACAACAAAAACGACAATAACGACCAGAAGAAGGACAACACCAACAACAAAGACTCGAAAGGTATGCAACATATGAAACATATTCAACATTTGAATATAACAACTGATTAACACATATAAACCTATAGACAAGAAGAAGAAGGAAAAGAAGGAGAAAGTGAAGAAAGAAACGGCCAAACGTTCGTTGGATATCTGTACTCAAAATTTCACATTTGGATTGAATGTATTGGACAGAGACGAGAAGAAAGTGAACGATCACATCAATGTTTGTACTAGATTTCTATAATCAATGCTATAATCAATGCTATAATCAATGCGTTTACAGTATACACAATGTATATACAATACTATAACTAGTTGTTAGTCTTGAAATTTAAGCAATGTTTAGCTCAATTTAGCCCTTTTAGGCAATATTTAGGGTCTTTCTCAATTTTTAGGCTACATTTTCAACCACTTTATATTAGCAACATCTTTGTTGCACATATTTACTAAATAAATGACTATTTTGTAATTTAAGCTAAATTAATGACTATTATCTACAAAAAATATTTACAATACATGCTAATAAGAAAACTTTATTTGTCGTAAAGTAATCATTATTGAACGAATCATCCTATAAACCACATTCATAGCTGAATTGTGGTTAAAAATATTTTTGAGTAAACTATTCTCACAATACATAACAGAATTTTACTAAATTTAAAATATTAAGAAAACTAAATAACTTTTTAAAATTATTTTAATGATAAATCTTTCAATTAATATGCTGATTATATATTTCAGCTAATTGATAACATATGAAAATTTTACATTTTTATAAAGGTTAAAGTTTCAAAATTAGCTGAAATGAAAGATTCATTTGAATATTTGACTGAAAATTTCATCTCTAACTATAACTGCATTTCTTATTTTCGTTTCAGATTTTGTTTGAAGATGTGATCGGAGAACCGGATCCCACTCATGGTATGTCTCATCATTATCAGTATTATAATAAACTTACCTCGAAGGGTCACGCATAATGTTACGCTAATCGTTACATTTATAAGGGGTGGGGGATTACATTATAAATTGGGACCCTCTATAAATTGAAAAATTGGGATTTCTTATAGTTTGACCAATAACATGGTGATTTAGAATTTATAGATTATTAAGTATACCACGTGACCAATATCTAAAATAAGGTATGCAGCAGGTGTCGCTTAAATGACACTATTATATACATTTTACAGAATTAAATTCTCTTCTAGTTTAAAAGTTATTGTGAAAACGGCACGATTGGAATTAATTGACCGCCCTATTACATTAACTAAACTTTACATTTTTCACTCAATTAACACTTGTGTTAAGACATGCCTTATTCTGTGTAAAAGTCTCCAAATATTTTATAATTAATAATTATATTATTATTATTATTAATTATTTGATGATTAAATGATTTTTAATAAAAATAATTATATTTACTTTTAAAATGTACTTTTAAAAATGTAAGTTTAAATGTTTATTTCTTTCATATTGTTTTCAAAAGGCTTTGAGTTTATTTGGCGTTTAACTTATCTGTTGTTCAACGCGACCCGATTCTGGTTGTATCGCATCATTGCTGCCATCATTGCTATCCCTTTGGCACTTCTTTGGGCCGTTATCTTTGCGTTCATCAATTTGACAACCATTTGGTTCTTTACACCACTCTTACGCATCTTCGACATCACTCTTCATTATATACACAGAGTAAGAGAGAGAGAGAGAGAGAGAGAGAGAGAGAATTAAACTCAAAGCTAACAGTAATTTTCAAAATATGAAACGTAAGTAAAATGAATTGAATACTCTTTTTTATTAATATAATTTAATTTATCAACTTTTTAATGCCATTCTCTTTACAACAAATCACTTAAAAGTATTTATCGGATACATTGTAGTTTGAATTGAAATAATGTTTGAAATGATACCCCAATTAATGTATGGATTAATGGTTTAGGTGTGGAGTGGAATCATTCGTTGTGTTTTGGATCCATTCTTCACTTCTGGTGCTCTTTTGTTCGCAAATCGTCGTCAAAACGGAAACATCGATTCGAGCGCTGCCTGACTCTCACCACTAATACATACAAAACCTGACAATCATTTAATTTTTGATAATTTTTTAACGTATCCAAAATAATTCATTTTGAAACTATTCAAAAATGTTTTTCTAAACTATACACTCATTCGAACATTCATTTGTATTAATATTAAATACATAGCATTTTAAAACAAACCATTTTCCAAAATAAACTTATTTTCGGCTGAACTATCCCTATCGGTAATTTGAAATCAATAATCAACATGGTCAATTCACGCCATTACAAATCAAAACTACTTAACCGTTTTGTAACTTTGTTTTAAACATTTGTATAAATATTGGCACAAATTCATTAGCATTTACATTTTTGAATTTTTGATATGTAACCAAATGAACTTCATTCAATACTATAATAGTAATCAATAGTGTACAAAGTAACGAGATTGAAATTAAATTAGTGTACAAAAAATGTGAAAATTTTGAAATGTATTTTTATTAGTACCGGTACTGTAAATTACAAATCAGTCACGCATTAGAATATATGATGTAACAAAAACAGGTTACAAGAACCTCTCAAAATTGTCCCCCGACGCGAACCTACTTTATTGACTCTTAAAGACCAAGGTCACTTCAAATGGCCAAAAATTGTAAATTAAAAATATAATTATTTAAGTTACAATAATAATTATCATTTTAATTATAATTAATATTAATATAAATGAACTAAACTTAAAACCCTCTAACGAGTTATAAATTATAAGTTATAAATTAAAGCTATAAGTTATAAATAACGCACAAAAGTAATAATGAATTTTTAAATTTTGGTATAACTTGTCGATTACGTCAGAATTGGGAGATTATTCCGCTTATCCATTGATATATGACCCAGAAAAACCCAGAACCCGCTTAACTTTTTCATTAGGTTCAATCATAACTATAGTATTAAATTCAACCATTGAATCAACCATTATAAAGTGACTAGCACATAATATGTAACGTTTACTAAAAAAGCTAAGCCGGTTCTGACTTCCTGGGTCATATAATATAATATACTTATTTATAGAATACAATATTTGATATTCAATTTTTTTCCGACGGGGACGGGTAAAAAAGTGATCCCCTACAAAGATGAAATTAAAATCTCCCAAAATACTCCTAACAAGGTAAAGTAGTGGTAAAATACATGGTATATGGTGAACTTTATATGGTATGCCCTAAACTTTCGGGACCAAAAGTTATTTAACTTCAATTCAATGCTTTACTAATTATCATGTTCTCAATTGATTAAGTTAGATTGATGAGTTGATTCATTAATTCGTTGGATTGTATTTTATATCTTTTATGTAACATTTTATTTAAGCAATTATCAATTAATGTAACTGTAGAGTTACAGCCAGAGCCAGCGGCCACTCTAATTAATAATTTAGTTGCTCAGTTGGTTTTGAACATTTTATTTATTAATATAAAATAGATTTAAAAGTGGTGAGAGCTGGATCCAGAATGCATATACAATATTGTTTAACATTAGCTTTTATACCATGAATACTGTGATTCACATATAAAATATGTGTGAATAATGTATAAAACTAGGTTATATTAGCCATAATTAAAACATGCAGTTCTTTCGACCACTATATAACCATAAGTTCAATAAAATGATTGTTGGTCTCTGTAATTACTAATTATCGTACAATTATTTTATTATAATATTAATAATTAAATGAATTGGAAAACTGAGCTCGGTCCCCTATTTATAATCATCAAATTATTAATATCTAACTTTGTTTTGGGTTTGAAAGACCAAACATTATTTGACACTAATTTGGTTAACATTGTTAAGTTATTATAAGGCTTGGGACAATGAAAATGATTAATTTATACAATGGTTAGCAATAATGCAAATATATTGCAATAATGGCTGTATTGTGAATGTATTGATGTATTGATGTATTGGTGTATTAGAGGTGGTGTTGAATGAGATTGTGTGGGAAGGCTGTGTCGATGGCTGTGTCGATGGCAGTGTCCAAGTGGTCGAAGTCGGACTGTTGCCACTTGTGTTTACGCCGCAAATGTTTGCGAAGGTCTGACATGCGAACGCCAGCAAAAGCACACTCCGGTAGCGAACACTTATAGTCCCTCTGATTCTTATGTGACTTGATGTGAGTGCTTAAGTGACTGGACTGACTATAGCGGGCCCCACATCCGGGCCAATCGCACTTATAAGGCCGCTCACCCGTATGTATTCGCCGGTGACGCTACCAAACAATTCAATTCATTACTCAACCCATTACTCAAACCTCTATTCAAACTCACTTTAAGACCACTTAATTCAAGAAAATTCTTATCGCATCCCTAGGAATAGAAACAACACAATAAGACACTCACATCGGGTGGCACATGGCGTGAGCATAGGCTGTCATACCTGCCAATCGCAGTAATAAAGTCGAGTGCCGTTATGTATGGCCTGATGTCGTCTAAGATTAGTCACGTTATCAAATGTCTTTTCACAACCAATCAAATCGCACACAAACGGCTCGTTTAAACCATGATTTGTTTGAGACGTCAACAATTGCTTTGTCTCACTTCTGCCCTCACGTTCACTGGTATGTGATTTGCGATGATATGCTAGTATTGAGGCCTAAATAATAGGCTTTATTAATACCTGATTTACGCTATAAGTGATCACTGGTTTGGTTCGCCCATTGAGTCCATACCTGTCCAAACTGAGCCTCGCAACCAATCCACGAGCATTTGTATGGCTTATCGCCCGTATGTTTGCGACGATGTCTACATCAGACAACTGGTTACTATGGGTTGAGCATTGGTTGAGCTTTGGTTCCAGTAATGGTTACCTCTTAAGACTACTGACATCAGTGAAACGTTTGCCACAACCGGTCCATTGGCAGACATGACATCGATTCCTGAGGTGAGTGTTGTAATGACGGGTAAGATTGGCGTTACGGGAGAAAAGTTTACCACAACCTAACCATTTGCACCGGTATTTACCTAATCGTAATCATATCATCAACTCTACTACTCATATACCAAACCATTCATTCAAACCATCTTTTGTTAGTTTCCTATAACCGCTCTTTTTGGGAGACCATTCCTCGTCTGTGTTGTGTCCGTCAGTGTTGTGTCCGTCTGTGTTGTCAGCGGCTGAACTCAACTCTGATTCTCCGCTTTCAACCGATGGTTCGGACATCAGTTCCTGATTCATCTCAAAATCCAAGAAATCTTGAGGTAATATTGCCTGCAATCAAACCAATCAAACCAATCAATCAGACAATCAGCACATTATCTCTTCAACAAATCAAATACTTCTGAATCCAAGTCATCAACTCTTGGGTTAGAGTCGAGGGAACAGTCAGTTAAGAGCTGTTTCTCAATCGCGTCCACTGTCTTCTGAGTTGATGTCAGATTTGATCTCAATTTCTGAACCAAAGCTTTAATTATCTTCTCTTTGCGTTTGAGATCTCTTTTCAACAATTGGTTCTCGTTTTCAAATTGTTTACACTTTTTGTCCATTTCTTGCAGTTTTGAGTCGACATGAGATCCACTAATGGTCTCACACTTGCCATCGATGGCTTCAATGGCAGTACTGTTGAGACAATTGTCTACAATAGATGTGTGCGGTGTCTGAAGGAGTAGATGTGTGGCATCGGTGGTCACCTGTGCCACCCCTCCCACTACATCCACAGCAGTGACAGCAGTGACAGCACTGACACCACTGACAGCACTGACCACACTATCAATGGTTGAATCCATTCATCGCCTGTGAGTTCTGTCACTCACTCTAACTCTCATTGAGAATAACACTAACAGTAATCGTAAACACAATCCAAACCACAATACAGTCTCTAATCGTTGCCATAGATATTATAACCATATGTTGTCATTACAGTAACGCCTCGATTATACCGGTAACTGATCATTGATTCTACTAACAAACGTAATCCCAAATGTTATCATTATGAGTGTACTTACATTTGTTGTATAGTTGTGTACAGTTGTGTCTCCAACTGATCGCAACACAAATGTCTGTTCGAGTTATAGACGTTTTCGAGTTATACAAAGTTTGAGTTATGCAACAATATTCAATTATATTGGATTAAATGATAAATAGGTGCCTTGAGCGCCTTCTAGTGGAGCTAAAATTACAAAAATGGTATCGTTATTTTAGGTAACATTCTTAGGCACCAGAAACCAAGTTTCATGGAATTCGCAACAATAGTTAAGACACAGGAATATTTCATATGACACCCGCCAATATAATGTATTTCTATGGGAGAGATTTTATTTCAGTAAAAATTATGGGTTAACTTTGATTAAAATCGACCATGCTCAAATAATAATAGAGATAATACAAAACCCCTACTCTTTTGAAATCTTCAATCTTTAATGTATCTAATCATATGCTATTGAATGGACAACAGTGACCGGTACCCCAACTGTGGCCATATCATTATCGGTAGTCAACCCGATTGGCGGCCTATATTTGATCGGTTCCCATTTGAATCTCATTATAATTGAAGTTATGATATCTTCTTTAAACTATTGTCGAATAATTATTAATGAATCCCAATAACCAAATAGTCACTTCAAATTTGTATTTTGTAAAAATATTTTTACTTTAAAAATATGATAATTTTTGACCAAATATTTTGGGGCAAATTTGTCAGAATAATTCCAACTGACACTTTTTAAAAATTTCCAGCATACAGACCAATCAACCAATCTTTATGAAACTTGGTTTCTGGTGCCTAAGAATGTTAACTTAAATAATGATAGCATTATTGTAATTTTAGCGACACTAGAAGGCGCTCAAGGCACCTATTTACCATTTAATCCAATAGTTATAATTATAACTGTAATATTAGTTCATATGGAAATTAAATAACCTAAGTGCCATCTAGAATTACTAATGGCATCATATTTAAGTTATGAATAATGTTTAAGTTATGAACTACCGTAAGTTAACAAACTAAAAAGTTTTAGGTTTCATTGATATGTGAAATTAATTGAATATTTATCATCTTTAATAATTACGACAAATGTGTTGTCACTAAATGGACCAAGTTTCTTAAATATGATTACAAATTGCTGATAACTTTATGTATTATAATTAAGGTTAATCGTTTCCCTCCCAAGTCTTATATCTTCCCGGAAAATAAGGAATCTTCCATTATTTTCTTATATCTTCCCTCACACCCACACTAGTGCCCAAAAAATATGCATAACATTTTAGTGCATTTGGTCAAAATCTCTATCATCATTTCCCTCCAACCACGTTTATCTTCCGGGAAATTCCCAATTTTTGGGAGGGAAAATAAGGGAAAATATATATCTTCCCTCCCGTAACGAACCTTAATTATAATATTGTAAGATTATACTTTTACGTTAATTTTGAAATTAAATACAATAATAAGTTGTTCACACAAACAACCAATAAATGCAATGAATGGCACATCAAATGCACTTATGATACCAACTTTGAGGTGATGTACGGACCAAGTGATCAGTGATCACGTCATTCCTACTGATGAGGCATCATTTGAGGCCACACTGACCCACAACTTACTTATTCAAAGGCAATAATTGACAAAATCATATATTATTTGCTTTATTTGAAGTATAAATTACAAATTCAAGTGTTGGCTCGTTTCAATTCAATTGCACTGAATATTGTGTCAAAATATTAGTTTACATTTAAAGTATAAAAAGTGACAAATTATAGAAATATAGAAGAAATAGTAGAAAAATACATATAAATATAGTTTTATTATATAAATAATGTCTAATAAAATGTTAATAATATATTAACCAAACTGTCAACCAATTATTTGATTATATTGTACCCTAAAAGTGGCCAATCAGAACATTTACAATACAATTATATCTATAAGTTATAGTCTATAACTCATCGTAGCGTAGGGCAAATCGAGGGCAAAAAGGGTACTATAAAGTTATAGTTATAATGTTTAATATGCTTAAAATGATCGAGGTGAGATATTAAGTACGTCCCATTATGAACAGTGCCAGATACGATATGGTCTATAACAATGTAATATAATTATATTGAAATATTGAATGAATGGGCGAAAGGGCAGGACATTCAATGCTAATCATCTATTCTATAACTGTAGTAATATGATCGAGTTGCTATATACAAGGTGATCACCATTATCCAGTTAAGCATTAAGGTTTAGCATGTTTGATGTTCAATTGGGACGTGTGTTCACTTGATGCATGTACAGCATGTAATGATCGAAGTCTACTGTAGTGCACAATACAATACAATATAATTGATAATAAAAATATAATGTCAGAGCAATTAAAGCGAATACAAATGATTGGATAAATCAATACAAATTGTATGTCTTGTTATGATTTAATTTGTGACCAGAATATGACAACATTTGATTGATTGACCAAAGGATTCAATAAATGACCAGAAAATAGTTGACAAAAGAGTGCTCGTATTAGTTATATAATAGTTAGCACTGTTAGAGCTGTTATAGCTGTGTCTCTGTAGTGGTCAAAGATATACCGGTGGCTCTACGGCGCAGGAAAAAGTAGAGAATGCCCGCCTGTGCCATCACATCAATGGTTCCGGCTGTAAAGGATTCAGCTAATGATGTGCTACCACTGCCACCACTGCCACCATTACTACCACTGTTAGAACCCGGCCTGAGAACAGTTGGTCCAAAAACTGTGGCCAAATTATTCAAAGACATCTTATTGTGCTCTTCAAACTGATTCACTCTATAATAAGATTAAGCATTAGTTAATGTTGTTTACACTTAATGTCTTACTTATATAAATGATCGATAAGTGCGACAATAATTGATTGATTCGGTTGACAAAGTGTCGAGAATAACGACAACAAACGTTTGCTTTTCTCTGATTGGTTCGTCAAATCTTAATTTAATCATAAATGCAAACACAATTGGTTAGAAATGGACACAAATATAATACATATCAATAACTTACTGAAAGCATCAAAATATTTCTTATACATAGCATTAGTGAACAGAGACTCCGGTAGTTCTCTTAAGTATAACTTTAATAAACCGGTCACTGAATGAATGTCTATTTCTTTCATAACAAGATCTGCTTCGTATGGATCTATCAATTGATCAAATGATAACAAATTATAAAATTGCAAACAAAGCTATTGTCTAAATAGTGATTCAATACTTGTTTCAAATGATTTCTTTAGTTTTTGGACATCTGATGAAAGGCCAGACACTCTATAAATGCCCACTTCTTTCATACCTCTCCTTTCAACTTCTCGAATACAACTCGTGATCAGATATGGAACACAAGTCTTTTCTTTCCTATTCACAAATCATGGATCAAATCAATACTGTATATGACATATGCACTACTCTAGAGTAGACAAACACTAATAGGCACTCACTTGCAAACTTGCTGTACATTCAAACCAAATGTTCCGCAAACTTTAGCCGCAGGAAAGCGTGCCGTTTGTGATTGTGATGAGACATACCTTATACTTAAGGTCAGAATACACTAAAATATCAAAAATCAACACTCAATCAACAGTATTCAACAACTAATATATACAACTAAATAGATTTACATCTAAAATAGGGACCATTTGCAGACTTTGTTTATCTGTGAGCCACGTTTGGCTTAACTCTAAACCCGCTTTCCCTCTAAAAAAAGGTTTTTGTTGTCCACTAATCTCTTCATAGCATAAGATGCGTAATGTTTGCGTTCCCTCCAAATCCAATATAAATTCCTATAAACAACCAATCATTACATTCTTGCTTATCAATAGTCCATCAATAATTCGAGAGAGAGAGAGAGAGAGAGAGCGCAAACCTGATCGAAATGTGGTTCAAGTGATTGTCGACTGACATGAGTGACAGAACGCTGAAGAAAGTGGCCATAAGTGTCTAATTCCAATATGAAGAATATATCTGAAACAGAAATGACAGAAATGTATGCTATTTGACAAATAGTGTGGTTATAGTGTAATACCTGCTTCTCTGCTCAATCCCTTCAAATGCTTTACAGTTAAGTAAAGATCACCGAAAAGCAAATCTTCGTCTTTAGAAGAACGCAATAGAAAAGAACCCAAAGAATTGGGATTCAAATTCTGAAATAACAATACATTAATAAATGGCACAAATGAATCGTTTTTCACTCACTTTACGACAGGTCTCTATCCAGGCTTGAAGTTCATGAAAATTGATTGATTCGCAACTGTTTTTACCAGTTTGTGCTACTATTCAAACATTTCAGAAAACTATTCATTTAAAGTACAATTAAATAACAAAATCAATACCTGATTGTTGTAATACTTTAATTGATTCAATCCATTGACTTTTTTCAAATTCTGATGATAAATAAAATGTATATATTTTGCCACTTTTATGACTAATCGAGAATTTGAGTTGTGGCAGATATAGGACCAGATGTGCCTCCTTTCAAATCAATAAATCTATTATATAATCCATTCAATTACAATCAAATGTCAACATTTAATACCAAATCCGATTTTTTCTTCTTTAGTTTTTCTAACAATTTAGTGTTTAGTTTTCCCTTCTATACAAACAAAATTAACCATAATTAATCACAATTAACCACAATTAACCATCAACATTCAGCAATATTCAACAATCTTAATCACATCATCATAAAGATTAACAAATGTACCATGTTTACCTCTTTCACTTCTTCGCGTCCAATTAAATCGCGAGTATTGCTGACTCGACATTTGATATTAAGTAAACTATTATTATTTTCTTTATCTTTATTTGTTGTTAAGGATTGAGATTCAACTGAAAACAAAATCAATTCCAAATTAGCATAAAAATGGTTTAACTCTCATCAAAATAATAACTCACTTTCAGTTTCTAAAACCGTGATCTCATTCAATAAGTTATACCATTTTAAATCAAAAGTAAATTTTTGTCTACAAAAAATGAATATTCAAAATGCAATTAATAATTGCGAGTATGAAACGTAATATCAGAGTAATAGTGATTGAAATTGGGTACAGTATAACATACTTTGCGGCGGCTTTATATTTGGCACATACTATAACATCATTGAATAGAAATAAATGTCTCAGTTTTCGCTTCTCTTCATTACTTTCAACAATAAAACTCTCTTTAACTAAACGTCTTTGAGTTTTGTCCTGAATCTACAAATATATAACTTTAGTATTTAGTATATATAGTAATTCTATGAGCAGAATATATAATAACCGGAAACATTTGTTCGGTGGCCGCTATATTCAGGTCATTAAGAAAGCATTGAGTCATTTTAAGTGCTGTCTTCAGTGACTTGTATTCATTGAGCTCTTCATTCGTATATTTGAGCAAATCGTGTAAAACTAACGCATTCTTCTGGACTCTGGCCACTGGTTTGTGAAGCAGTTCTGCAAACATTCACATTAAAGTTAACCATTTTATTAAACTATCACAAACACAACAAAACCTTCTATAGTAATCGATTGTCCCTTTAATGACATTATTTTGATGGACTGAAAATTGAAAAAGTATTAAAAACATGTATATAACAAATGCTTACGATATGCTTATATAGTACTCGAGTTATTTCAGAAAATTGATTATTAGTTGCACTACACTTATGGACAGTTTCTAATGCTTTGGAGTAATTCTTTAAGAAAGCACTGTAAGCCCCCAAACGACTGGCCAATACTTTGTATAACTCGCCAATCAATGTATTGCAATCATTGGAGTCTTTGTTTGCATCATTGGATAGCTTTTTGAGTCCATCTAAAAAACTCCAATGAATTGAATAAAGTTCTGGTATTTTATAAAATATTGTCGACAATTCTTCGGGAGTGAGAAGTGGATGTGTAGTGCCTAATGTTGACTTCAATGCCTTCATATATTGAATTAAAGTGTTGAGACAATCCACATAAATAGTCTCACTCTCTGTAATGCTGGCTATAATACACTTATACATAGTTAACCTCTCAGTTTCCATTGTTTTCAAGTGGTTCGGCTATTAAAGCATTAAATGGCAACAATTAATATAGATATACAATATTTAAAGTATGGTTTATACTCATGTATATTATAGTAAATTACTCACTTCATTGTCGTTTGTAATTAATGATAAATTCTCTTCAGTTGTATTCACTAAAGTCGAGTCAAATTTAATATATGATTAGTATTAGAAAGCATTGATTAATTAACTGTTTAATTATGAAATACCAGAATCAGATTCAAACACTTCATCATAAGTCGGAGCGATTGCTGAATGTTTTGTTTCAAGTGATGCAAGCGATTGAATTTGCACAGACATATCGGCACCGATCAGACCTACACTCGACTTCATAAGCACAGAATCACACGAATGACTGACATTATCATCGATATCGTGATCACTAGACAGTGATTGTGAAATGTGTGTCTCATTATCATCGCTATCGTCGCGGGAAGAAGTCTCGTCTTTTCGCAAAAAGTAATCGATGTTCACATAATTTGCATAACTATTCATATCGTAATATTTTGAAGACAAGTTGTCTGTGGATGAATTCGAGTCAAACAAATCAGTGGTCACGTGTTTGTTAGCATCAATCACATTGAGACTAATGGATGGCTCGTCCGGCGCTACCGTGTCGTAGATGTTGTTCTCGTCGTCGTCGTAGAGAACATTGTTGTCAGTGCTTGTATTGCTTGTATTGCTTGTATTGCTTGTATTGGTTGTGTTGTTAGTGTTGGTTATATTGGTTGCATTGGTTGGCGGGTGAGTGGCCGGACATATGGCCACTTGCTTTCCATTGCAGTCATTGTCTTCCAATACAGCAATTGATGTCAACTTTGCATTCACTTTTGGTTTGCGGGGAGGAGTGGGCGGTCTTTTCTTCTTTGAAACTATAATATAATCAATCAATACAATCAACACTTCATTATAAACGCATACATTCCTCAAATTAATATTCAAATTAAATTGATATCAAGTAAAGTAAGATATGATTAAACTGGGAATCAAAATCAAACCTTCATTTTGGATAATGGTTTGACTCAAGGCATCGATTAAATTGTCTTTGGGTTTAATTAGTGTCGATAAAGACAACGGATTAACAGTTGAAATATGCGATGATTTTAAAGGCTGTGACGTTTGATATAAGGGATTGTCTATTAAAGATTGTGCGGTTTGGTTGGTCTCAGGTTTGGTTGGTTTGTGGATTTGGCCATAACTGCTAACTGTGATGACAGTCACGTATTGGTCGTCCTTCACTACTGGTGACAGTATCTCATCGGTGGTGTCATTGGAGTCAATGCCATCGATGCCATTGTCGTTAGTGTCCACTGAAATGCGTCCAATCAGACAATGAGTTGCTGTGAAGTATGAATGAATGAATCAAATGCATACCTTTGGCTCTTTCCACGTCTAGTAAAAGTTTTTGAAGGTATTGGACGTAAAACTCTTCCTTCTCGAGCTCTTCCTTGAGAAGTGCAACCCTTGTCTCGTGAGTGCATAGGTTTTGGCGAACGTCTTCCTCCCAAGCGTTGGGCAATTGACACGACTCGCCGAACCTCTGTTCCCACTCCGAGCAGAAGTCCGCAAACACTGACTCCATCTCACCCTTCACTCCACCACTACTTCCAAACAATATCACTCATTACCACTCATTACCACTCATTCAAACTAATTGTCACTAATTGTCATTATGTGGTGTCAAATGTAATGGCTGTACACACTATACAGTATACACTCAATACACTGTACACTACAGACAACACTGCAAACAACATTCAATCAAACCATATATATTAGTACATCGTATGTCACAATTGATCATCACTTATGAGTACCTTTTCATAACATAACGCAATTGGTTTGTGATATACAAAAGGTTCAATCATTTAACTACTGTTTACGTGTTATTTATAACATAAGTTGTTTGTATGAATAGTAGAAAGCATACCGTGAGGGATAGTAAGACTGCCGGTCATCGCGTATTATATGAACGCATTAACACTGATTATCGTAACACGCAGTCAATATCAATATACAGGGAGGGTTCAGCATTGAAGACACCCCCGCGCGCACCCATTATTATAATAATCATGTGTTTCTTAGCGACGCAATACAATGCAATACAACGTATATTGAAAACCATTAAAAACAACAAAAGTTGTATTGTATTGCTAAGCAATACACGCTTGTTATCATGATGGCTGCGCCCTGGGGTGGGAATAAAGCTTGGCGGACCCTGTATACATTGTATAATATATATATAGAGTAGTACTCGTTTTATACTATACGTGATGATTGGTTTGCATTGAATCACATGTATATAAAAGGTATAACATTACGGTATAAGAAGTTGGAATATACATGTATTAGAACACCATTGGTATCGTAATTCTGGACTTACTATTACTTGTGTTTTCTTCGTCCATAAATGATGTGCCTATACTTATACTCCCATACTATGCTTATTGAACAATAAATGCATACAAAGTACACATAATACATGGCATGAAAATAGCCAAAATCTAGAGTCCATAATTACAATAACTATGGTATTATAAGTGGTGTGCATAGACTCTATGCCATAGAGTACATAAGTTTGGTGTGTTTGTGTAGACCTACTGTATTGTTGGTGTGATTTGGTTGATGTGATTGTCTGTGATTTGATTGAAATGATGTGATGTTTGTGACTAGACTTGTATACATTGATTGCGGTCATGTATTGGGTGTACGGTTGGCCGCAAACGTTGCGAAACACGGCCCACACGTTGGCCGCAGTGGCGAACACCGACCGATCGCTGTTCGGCCTCTTGTCGAGGGACGAGCTGTCCATTTGGTACTTCCGGCCATCGGTTCGTATTGTAGTTCATAAGCGAAACTCACAATCCCTTCAAGACTTTGGTTCAAACGTTGCAATGGTTTGGAGACCCGACTCTTCACTCATTGTCGTCCAAACAGATGAAGACTTCCTATTGTTTTACAATTTGATTGACGATCCAAATGATGGCCATCTCTTGGACCAGAAAGATGTGGAGTAATGTCACCAAATTGGTGGCCAAATTGGTCACAAAGTACTCGTCGTATATCTAATAATATTTGTTTTGTTTGACTAGTATTTCAGGTCTTCGTCGCGAAAGCTCTGAGCTTTTCATCACTGAAAAGATCCCGTCTTTGATTTTAATGTTATCTTTTTCCACACAAATCACAACTGGAATTAAATGGTATTGATTTGAATGCTATTCTCTATATCATTGACACATTTACTCCCGTTTTAAGTTTAATGGCAGCTGAAGAGGAGATAGTGATTGGCACTAAGAATGGTACGAATCAAGTGATTGCCTGAAAATGATGTCATATATGATAACTGATTGACTTTTAGGAGAAATTTGTGGCATTCATTGGGACGGCTCTATAGATGAGACGTTTATATGGAAACTCACATCCAAGACATTCTCAGCTACGGATGACATTAATGTAGTGGACATCAAGTACTCGTCAATGATCGGTGGATTTGGATTAGTGTTTAGTTGCGGTCGCGCGGCATTCATGCCATTGCACTCTCACCCACAAACCAGTACTACTTCTCAACCAAGTACTCCATCGACTACTCCATTGTCTACTCCTGATGTGATGTCAGGTTCGCCACAATTTAACTCTCGACTTCAATTTGTGTCGGAAGTGGACAACGCGTGTTCGTGTGCTATCAATCATAAGTACCAATTGATCGCTTTCGGGCTCAACAACACTGAGGGTGTTGTTTGTTGCTTAGATGACACTCAATATGGTATTACAATCACACATCGACTTGTGTTATCGGGTGATACTTTTCCGGGTATTTATATTTGGTGTACATTGAATGAAGGTTTGCTCAGCTCTTTACCGGTGTATGTGTTTTGTTTTAGACGCCAGTTTCACTGCCGGTGCCCTCACTTGTATTCAATGGACTCCCGATTCTACTGTATTGGCCACTGCGTGGCAAAGAGGAGGCTTTGCTTTGTGGTCCGTATTTGGAGCTCTCATTGCGTGTAGTTTTTCTTGGGATTTGGGTGCAGTCGATGCCATCAAATCGAGTCCTTTTATTGTTAATTCAATGGCATTTGGCAAAGAAGGTGAACATTGATCTCATTTAATATATTGTTAATTAATTAGATGTTTATTTCATCAAATAGGATATCATTTATGGTTAGCGACCAGAAGTGCCAAACTGGACAACTCTAATGATAAGAGTAATAACTATTTATTGGACGGCGTATCAAAGCTGTCAATGGCTAAGAGTGTGATCGCATCCAACCCGAGCTCATCCATTAACGAAGAACTCGTTTTGCTTACGTCTGAAGATCGCCTCTTCATAGGTATTGGTGCTGTGAATGTGGGACAACAGCAGCAACACTACTCACCCATGTGTTCAACCGATTATATTGACCACTATTGCAATGGAAGTATTACTGATGATATTATGCCTTCGACTAACTGTTCTTCAGGTAACATCTAATAGACATAGATTTGGTAATACAATTGTTTATATTTTGTTACCTGATATATGTATATGTAGGTGAAATATATTGGGAACAACAACCCATAGCTGTTGGCAATCTTCAATGGATTGTCATAAATATGCCTCAAAGATATTTGGCCACCAATTGGCCGATTAGATACGCGGCCATCGATAACATGAGCCAACATATTGTGATCGCTGGTCGCACCGGATTAGCTCATTATTCAATTTCTCATCGCAAATGGAAACTCTTTGGTAGATATACTTACTTAAAGGGACACAATATGACCACATATGTGACCAATAATGATGTTTTGTTGTTTACATGATAGGTAACGAGACTCAAGAGAAGGACTTTGAGGTATGCGGTGGTCTATTGTGGTGTAACGAACACATTGTGTTGAGTTGTTATAATGTGATGGAAAGCCGATATGAATTGAGAACGTATTCCCATAAATACAAACTCGACAATGAATTTGTTCGAGTCCTTAAAGTGGACAGTGAAGTTCTGGTCATGTCTTTATTTAACAACAATCTCATCACATATTCAATCGATGGAACCATTCATATGTATGGATTGAATCGCAAAACACATAATCAAATTTCGTCATTATTGATAACACATATGAATGAAATAATAATTAATAATTTAGTGGTTCCACCGGAATGTGTCACTCTTGTAGTGCTGACCAATTTGCACATCGAATCCACTAAAGAACAGCTTTCTATTCTAATGAACATTTGTGGCCGACTTTTACTCCTCGAAAAGGAATCGACGGGTGAATTGTCTGAACAAAAAGCAATGCCAATCAATACCATCTCCAATGATAACAAAAGCATTGTTTATAAGAAAGTGTCGATATTGGCATCGGGTGTGGAGAATGTGTGGATTGCGAACACTGGATGTAAGTCTGATCGGCCACACCTGACAGAGTCGCTGTATGTGTCGTGTGGTGCTAATGGGATGGGTGTATGGCTACCACTCCTACCGGTTCCCGAACAACAAACAACGAGTCATAGTTTTATGTCGAAGCGAATTATGCTTCCCATAGCCACCCATATCTACCCCTTAGCCATACTGTTTAGAGACGCGGTTATGTTGGGCGCCGAAAACGACACTGTCTTGGGATCACGACATTTGCCAATATCTCTACCATTTTCTGTGGTCTCGCGTACGAGTCAAGTATATCTACACCACATTTTACGAGAGCTTTTGCGCCGAAATCTTGGTCTTCACGCGTGGGAAATCGCTAACAGTTGCACTAATTTACCCTATTTTCCACATTCACTCGAACTCCTACTCCACGAAGTGCTCGAAGAAGAGGCCACTACTTCCCATCCCATTCCCGACGCTCTTTTACCACGAGTGGTCGACTTTATCCGAGAATTTCCTGTCTTTTTGCAAACGATAGTGCATTGCGCGCGCAAAACGGAATTAGCCCTTTGGCCACACCTTTTTGCTGTGGTCGGCAATCCTAAGGATTTGTTTCAAGTACTGTATTGTTTACTAAACTCAACTCATTAGCAAAACTCATGTCTTGTTTTGTATTGTATTGCAGAAGTGTCTCTCAGAGGGACAGTTAGAAACGGCCGCCTCTTATATCATAGTCCTTCAGAATTTAGAGAAGTCCTCCATTTCTCGACATTACGCCTCACTTCTGTTAGAGTCGGCGCGAAATGCCGGCTGTTTTCAAGTGGTCAAAGATTTGGCCCGTTTTTTGCGAGCAATTGATTCTTCCGAAGGCGAAACTTCGGTCAACAGGACGTCTACCAGTTCTACGAGCGGTATATTTGGTAGCGATTCTACTCTAGACACACATCCGACTCTTACTCGACAAACATCCGGTATTAATCATATGTCTCCTTAAATGTCATATATTTGATGTGTTTTACTATTTGTGATTTAGTTGCAGAAAGTGAAACCAATTCCCAAAACAATATAAAGGGCTCACAAGCATTAGATTCGTGTTTAAAACAATCCAAAGTAGATTCAAACGGAGATATCAATTGTATGAAAGCGCACCACAAGTCAAACCCAACAAACAGTGGATCCAAGTCTATACCTCTATTAGTCGGAATGAATGGCATTAAAATCAGCGCATTTCCAGGCACTACAACGCGATTGACTACTAATAATATAACTAATAATTCAGTGAATAAAGATTCGCCGATTGTTTATCCAAAACACATTTCAAATGCAAATACCGTTCATTGTGTCGATCAAACATTAATACCAATTGCCAAAGATTATGACCAAAATTGTACTGTATTTTAATCAATTGAATTTCACTTAATTACTGCTTATATTTTGACTAACATTTTCTTATTTGATTAAGTTTTGGACGAAACGTTTGATTGATTAAAGAAACTAATCATTGAAATGATTATTTTTGTTACAATTGTGATCACTTTCCCTGTTTTGTACGGTATCTCGAGTTTTACTAAAACATTGGTCAACAAAAGAGAATGGATTTCCCGTCACTTGACTTCAATCATTCATTTATTCATACATTTTAAACTAATTTGCTATTTGTTTAAAATTTATCTCATATTTCATTACAACTTATTGACAAAAATATGACTATTAGAGAAATATGAAGCAATTTGTTATATTTTGTATTCCATTAATTACCATCAAATGTCATTAAACACCCAATTGTGCCTTAATTACAACAATTATTAGGGTATTACCATTTTTCATCAATTATAGTAAACTACCATTGGATTGGATTTATAGTGTATTTAAATTATCATTTCTTTATTTAAAAAACACTTATATTGTTATAAATTAATATAATATTTACGGATATGATCTGAGAATTGATTGATTTCATTGAATTCTAGAAATAGATTTACATTAAAGGGAAATGAATTTACTTTCAATACTCAGCGATTAAAGCATAAAATATATTACAATAAATGAAAGATAAAATAACCGATTGAAACATAAAATTAAAATTTCCATACATTTGTAATGTGTGTATTTGTTGTAAAAAATTAATGTACAAATAAATTCATAACTATTATAGTTCATTCACAATTGTTGGTTAAATAAATGATATTTTTAGTATAATTATAACTATGTGTTCATGTTCAAATTACATTAACATAATAATATATTTGAATACAGTATACAAGTTATACTGTACTCCCAGTAGTTGAGCAAACATCTCAACAATTATTATATTTTGGTCCATTTAAACCAATTTAATAAATATTGACATTAATATCTCAATACAACAACTTTTCAAATTAATTTGCACTCAACTTTCACTCACATGTGTCGAAGTGTACGACAAATTGCATATCAGTCCATACCGTAGTGATTGATGATCGCCAACACATTGCCATCAATATTATCGCATGTATTATACAAATTCATGTAACTTTTCCAATACATTCATTATAATCATAATCTATATTTCATGATATATACAAACAAATGATTGAAACCAATGTTCAATGTAATGAAGATTACAAACCAAAAAGTGGTTAATTGTTAGTTGAGATGCTTTTGTCATTCATTTCTCCGAAACAGTGTTTGGCTTTTGGATCGCGATATGAATTCTCGTGTTGTACTGACGCAGAGCTGGTCCGACATCGGGTCAAACACAGCTCAAAGTGATCGGTAATACTGGCCATCAATACATTGAATGTATCGCTAGTCTTCTTAGAGACAATTTTGGTGAGGAATGGCTTCTTGTTTGGGTCGAGACAACAACTGATGCAATACTCGTATATCGCACAACACCCGCCGCTCTACACATACATACCAATACAGCACACATTAACACACATAACACTTCCACCTCAAGACATACCATCACTACATACCTGACACGTCTCACAAGAGTATAGTTTAGTGTTGACGCTATTCTCATCACAACAACCACTTAAGAGCACATCCTTTCGGTGACAAAGCATTCCCCTGTCGTCCGCAATGAGGACTTTGCCCTGAATAGAGTTACGACACTTCATATCACTTCCCACACCACGACTCATGTCTTTAATCACATGCTCTTCAGAGTTGACGCGATTGTCGTTTCCATTCAAATCCATTGAATCGTTTTTATCACTTGGGATCAAATGGTGCGACAAATGTTGCGATTGTCTGATAATGTGTTGCAAGCGATCGATGTCTACATCGGTCTCGTAGTCCTCAAGAGTGCCATCGATGGCACTGATGGCAGAAGTGGTGCTCTTTTGGCTCAACAATGAGACCAAACAGTAAGTGAAAGAAAGACTGAAAATAATGGCCAAAACTATGCGTTTCCTCAACAGTCGGACCACTGTTTTCAACACATTATATCCAGTGCTCAATACTGTCGTCAATACAGTTGTCACCCATTCGTTGTCCCATTGATTGTCCACTCGCTGTCCACTCATCTTCGCCCACACCTCTCATCCATTACTTCAAACAATACAAACAATACAAACAATACATAACGCAATGTCTGTCCAAACAATGTGTAAACACAACTATAGCACAATCTGAAGCACAACATCGTTAGAGTCACTCATAAACAACGTTATCATTAATGCAGTCATTCTGACTATTCATACTCTTTTGGTTCTCGAAATATTGTCGACAATTCTTGCAAATTGTGTCATATATTGTGACAATAGTTTACACAAAAATCAACTTTCAAATGAAATACTACAAAATTGAGAGAAATAATATGTTTTTTCTAGTATTTCAATAAATTGTTGTTTCGAAAAGTTGTTAATTTTGAAAAATTACAAAATAGTTGTAATATATTTTGTCAATATTTATTATTAGAGCAGAGATTATTCGGGAATAAAAGTAACCAAATTTGGGAATTAATGTTTAATCAATTGGCGGCACAATATTTTTATATTTAAATCATTTTAAAATGAATATATTTAATAATGACATGAAATTATAATTTGCAAAATATGCCAAAATGGAAATATTCGGGAAAATAAAAGTGGTCTATTTTTACTCTATTATAACTAGGGATGAAAATTTCAGTGAAATATTAATTTGAACATTTCATTTAGGCTAAATTTTGACATTTGGGCTAAATTTTCATAAAAATGTGAAATGTTCATATGTTTTTCAACTAGATACTTTCAATGTGGTGAAATATATAAGAAACAAACTAATTAAAACATGTTTTATTTTAAATAATAATAAAAATTCTTTTGTTTCTCTGAATATTTCAAATTATTTAAAGATTGTTTCAAATTCTTGAATATTCTGCTATCAATTCTATGAATATTTTGATTTAAAACCATTGAATGCTTAGTTTAATACTGTTTAATGTAGTTTAATATTGTTTAATGTTAAATTTATACACCATACACATGTTAGTCAGTATATAATGCACATTAATATAAAGTCAATACTATCAATTTGCACTTCAAATACAACAAATAGTTGTTTACAAATATAATCAAATATTAAATTTTATATTGGTTTTGTGTGGAAACCGGATTTGAACCAAATGTTGAAACAATAATTGTGACCTTAAAAGTTGTGTTTTCAAATATAATGGTTTATAAATTTTATATTATGACCATAATCTTGGTTATAGTTTTGTCATAAAATATCAATTAATGAAATGAACGCTTTTAATCATATCTTATATTTGCTTTGGATTTCATATGTCTTACAGTCAACTATTTGTAAGTTATTTTAAATCAAATACATATTTCATTTATCTTTAAAAATAAATCTAATTTCTAATCATTTTATAGTTTTAATTAGTTATAAAAAATATGAAAATAACTAAATTGGTTATTTGTAATTATAATTTAGATGCCGTTCCACAAGAGATTTGTGTGTTTGAGAGCCAATGTCTAAACTATTGTCAAAGATATGGATATAATCGAGGATTTTGTCAAACAAAGTGGTCGTCAAAGCTTTCGACATTTCAAAGACATTGCAATTGTTATGAATGCAATCAATTAAAATGTATGGACTATTGTTATCGCAATAAATGGCAATTCACTGGTTGTATGTGTCATAACCTGCTTATACCCGGGGGTCCGCTCTTTGGTATTTATAATAAACACCATTTAAATGATTGTTCAGACAATAAGACGTTTTGTGAGTGTGGAAAGTGACCAAATTATACGGCACTTATTTAATCATGTCCAAACTCCAACTTACCACCTACTTCATTGGTTTCAGTTTAACCATTAGTCATTTAATAAATCAAATGAAAAGTATACCCTAAAACTAAATGTACATTATATTTCTTTATACAGTTTATACAAATAAAATTTTAAAATTTTTATATTGTATTTATTTACCGTAATAAATGTCACATTTACATGTAATACTACCGTAAATTAAGTAATATTACATTTAGTGTATATTAAAACTAAAATTTAGTTACTAAATATTACAAGTTCTGTGTTCTTTAGTCAAGCTTTTATGAATTACACAAATTTATTTTCGCGCATGAGTTTTACCAATATTCTAATATTCTCTCTCTCTCTCTCTCTCTCTCTCTCTCTATATTCATTTTAAAATGATTTAAATATAAAAATATTGTGCCGCCAATTGATTAAACATTAATTCCCAAATTTGGTTACTTTTATTCCCGAATAATCTCTGCTCTAATTCTTGTTTTGACTCATATGTTGTCTTTCCTTCAATACATTGCTGTATAGAAATGGAGCTCAACTCTTAGGTCTTCCTAAATCATGAAATGATTTAATTTCTAAAAATAGCAAAAATATATGTTATATAAGATTAAAAGAAGGAATGGAGAAAAGAAGTGTGACTTTCAATTATGACATTTATATTCAGGCCATCAATCTATTGATACATCTTTGGCTAATTAATGTGATTCCAGTGACAGCTCTTCCGGGAATCATCAAAATTGGTAATCCTTTGACCTAATGTTTGGAATGTATTGTAATTTTAAACATTTTCTAATTAGTTTCACTCAAATCAATGTTTTTAAGTTTGTCATATAATCATTTCTATCAGATGACCAGTTAATTGTTATCATCATAACTTATCACTATTGATGTGAGCTAATCATAAATTATGGAAAATTAATTTAAATTTATTATGTTTTAATTTATATTATTAAAAACTTAAAATTTTAATAACAGTTAATAAATGGTTTTATTAAACTTATTAAACGGTAGGTTATATAGGATGCAAATATATCTATAGTTATATTTATGGGAGATATAATGATCACACAAATGTGTAAAAGCGATAAATATAATGTAAATTTGGTAAATGAATTGATTGATTAAGACTCTTATGATCGATGTTTAGGCGGACTCTTCACACAATCACAAACAGAACAAGAATTGTTATTCCGGTTGTCTGTGGACAGGATTAACGCCGATTCCACTATTCTCTCCAAAACAACATTAATGGCACAAATTGAACGAATTGAAGACATCGACAGTTTTCATGCCGATAAACAGGGTTTGTGTTTCACTAATACTCTGCAATTCATGAACAACACTCTAAAAGTCAAATTCATTAAAACCTCATTTATGAACATTTTTTTATGAAACATTACATTTCTATGAATTTAATGTATTAACATTATAAACTGAATTTAAATTCCTTCAATTTATAAAGACTTCAACATAAATCGAATTGACTCCTAAAATGACTCGAATTTATTTAAAGGCAATATTTAAATGCAACTAAATATAAATACAACGGTTTTATTACCTTAATATTTATCAAATCAACTCAAATTAACTTAATTGTTAATAATATTAGAAATTTTTGCCAATTTATTATGATTTAAGTTAATTATAATATATTTGTTTGAGCTGATGTTCCCTAAAATTGTATCAACTTATAATTAATGCTATTTTTCATTTGCATCTAATTTGTAGAATCTAATGCAATCTAATATACAATACATAGTGATGTGCTTGAATGAGCAAGGTGAACAACTAAACTGATAAATGATTGGTATATTTGTATAGTGTGTTCATTGTTGGGAAGCGGTGTTGTGGCTCTGTTTGGACCGTTAAGTCTGAGCCCGTCGTCAACTCATACGCAATCGATCTGTGATGCGCTGGAAATACCACACGTCGAAAGTCGTTGGGATTTTCAACTGCAAAGGGATGACCTCTCTATCAATTTATTCCCTAAACCTTCCGTTTTGGCCAAAGCTTACGTCGATTTAGTTAAAGCTTGGAATTGGAAAGTGTTTGCCATTGTATATGAAAATAACGAGGGTATTGTTCATTCACTACAATCATCATTCAATTAACCTGTATATAAATAATAAAAAGCATGTGCAAAGTAATGATAAATAGTTAGTGAATACTGTATATTGAAAACCAAACATCCTAAGGTACTTGTATTAATTGAGTTAGAATTATGAATATGGTGTCATAATTTAAGTTGACATTCTTAGGCACCAAAAACTAAGTTTTATAGAGATTGGATAAAGAGACTAAAATTATAAATATTTGAATGCGTCAAAATAAATAAGAATAATATTATCACATAGACATTCATATTCATTACTTGACCCTATTTATGGATTTACAGTAGAGTACAAATTATGAATGATAAATAGGAACAATTAACAATAATTAAAGATTCTAATATTTGGGAATTCTCGAATAAAATAGCTAACAAAATAATCGGGAATTATATACCATTAGGTTTAGGGGTTATAATAGACCAAAATTTTATAAGTTTTATTTTTCCGATTTTTACCCGATTTTGGTCTATTTTGAGAAAATTCCCGATTTTAGCATATATTTTGGGAAAATTCCAGAAAAGTCTATTTTTATAATAAATATTTAGAACATTACACATTTTTCAGAGACAATTATTTATATTATAATTATTTCATCAAAGCTCTGAATAAAATTCTAATCTGAATATAACTTATATCAAAACCTGTTTTGTAATCTAAAAAATTTTGAGATAAGATGTCTTACAAAATATATTATAATTTGTAGGGGGGGCAGAACGATCCAATAAACCACATTATTCATAGCTGAATTGTGGTTAAAATGGAAGCATTAACAAGCTATGTTTTATAGTTCGGCCCCTCCTCCGCCCGATTTAACATGGGATTACAGTTTAAGTCTATGGCTATACTTTAACATGGGGCTAATGTTATTCTATGGATAATGTAAATACTATGGGACCAATGTTAAGTCTACGACATAGGTTTAGCATGGGTAATGTAAAGTCTATGGCAATGTTAATCCTATGAGGAACATTTTCAATGGGTTTCTATGGGATCTTATGTCTATGGTAATTCTAAGTCTATGGATAATTCAGAATTAATTATTAATTCTATATCTATAGGACTCATTTTAAAACAGTAAATAATTGTATTTTATTATTTGAGCAATACCCGAATTGTGGTTCACGAATAGCTTTGCTGTGTTAACTTTGTTTTTGTCATCAGTTATAAACAATTATAATTTATCGTATATTAATATAAATATAATTTATATTGATTTTTATTATTATTAATATAATTAAATACCATCGTGATATTATTTGAATTAAACTTTATTTATATTTGACATTTTAATAATACTGTATAAAACAGTACCATGATGATATTCGTGAAATAATTATTTAAACTATTGAAAATAATTTCGCAAAACGAAACAAAACCGAAACTAGTTTTGCGAAACGAAACTCAAAATTATGATTTTTGTCAATCACTACTTTATAAACAATTTGGTTTACAGTTTATTATAATTGACAGCAAATGCTAGTATTGCTAATTATTTTATATTTATGGAATTTCCACTTTCAATAGAAATAATACAGATAGAAATAGTTTACTTTGAGATTAAAATACACAATTAACTTATTTAGAATTAATGATTTAGCGTTAATGTAAAATTATATTCATGCAATGTTAATGTATCATAATACATTAATGTATAATTAATAACGTTTGATTTTCACATTTAATTGTAGGCATAATTAGAATTCAAGATTTCTTGAAAGAAGCGGAACGTAATAATTGGCAAATCCTGTTGTATCAGTTCATTGCCGGCAAACCATATAGAGATACCTTTTGGGAGATCAATAAATCGCAATCTCGTGTCGTAAACATTGTTCTCGACGTTAAGCGCGAAAATCTGGTTCACGTTCTCAGACACGTAACTTATAAGAGTTTTTTACATTTTCCACAATTATTCATTATTTATTTATTACTCACATATACTACATTATAGTACCTAGTTAACTAAATTGTAAGACTTATACTGTATTATATAATAGCTATATTATACGTTAGAGTAGGATTCTTATTTTCCCAAAAAAAATTCTCCAAAATATGGGGAAATCCCGGAATATATCAATTTTGACGGAAATGATGAATTCATAATGCTCATTTATTCTAAATATTTTGCGCTTTTTAAAAAATAATTCACAAATTAATTTATAATAAATCAAGTTATTAGATTTAACAAAATTGTTACCTGTTATAGTTCATATTGTTGAGCCGGTTTGGTCGTAGTGACCACAATTATAAGGAAACATTAATCTTTCAAATATTAACATATGATAAATGACATCAATGTCATTATAATTTGACATATCATCAGAATATTGTAATATTACATCGACCGTATAATTAGATCTTATGTTATTTTACTTAAAACTGTTGAATTTTTAAACAAAGTAATATAAGCTCTATGTCACAACTAGTGTTGCCAACTCGAAAATTTTCAATAATGGACATTTACTCTAAAACCATTTAAAAATAGTGGACAAATAGTGGACATAGTTTTTCACGTGATATTTTTAAGTTATTTTTAATTCTTTGGCTAAATCATTATTATTTAATAAATTCTATTTAAAGTAATTAATATATCAA